CAAAAAGGTATAGTTTGATTCAATAATTTAATAATTGAACGTCAGTTATAATTTCTTTATACACTTTATTAATCTCACTAACAAGATATTTAGCTCCACACCCACTTTCACACAAGGAAATTAGCAAATAAAGCCAATTCCTTGCAGTCTTAGTGATAACTTACTTCACATGTTTTAAGTTGTATCTTAAATGGATGTCAAGTAATTTAAAAAATAGATTCTATCGAACAATTCAAGTAAATTAAAGGGTAGATTAGAGTCACCTCACTCAAGTTTCATACAACCTACACTTATTTATTCCGTTTTAAAATCCGACGCTTTTCATTTTTACATTATAAAAACCCTACTCAGTCAACTGTTAGTTGATAATTATTGGCCTTTTTCTAACCTATTAATTAATTTTCAAAACCAAAAATACTTTCCAAAAAAACCAAGAACACTACAACTATTTAAAAATCTTAAGTATCTTTTCCTATTCACACTTTAATCATAACATAACTTTTGAAATAGAAAAAATAATGTTGATTTTCTTTGGACTACTTATTGCAAAAGTATTTTCAGAAAATCTTAAGTTGGTACTTTTTAGTTAATAAATTCAATTAATTTATAAAAACTTTAGTGAAAATTACAAAATTTTCCATTTAATTGATAAACATATAATCTAAGTTTATGTTAGTCAATATGACTTAAACTTATACAAATTGTGAATTTTTCAGAAATGCTTATTCAATATTAATACAAGATAAGTGAAAAAATCACGTGTATTTTTGAATTGTAAAAAGAATGCTATAAGATTAAAGTATAAATAGGAGAATAAATTGAGATATTTTTAAATAATTAGAAAAGGAATTTTGAGATTTTTGAAATAACATACTAGGTAAAGAATAAGTATAGGTTTTCAAACTAGAGGGGGTAAGTTCGGTTTATATTTAACTTGAGGAGGGCAGTAGTAATTTAACCTAAATTAAAACACCATTCAGACCTTAAATTGACGGCAATAGAATCTTCCATTTCCTTTGCAGAATCAAGAAGCCTTTCTGCCTGACCATGACATGATTCGCACCTACAAATGCAAGTCTCTTCTCAGTTTTTTGAAGACAGAATTGATTTGCTTTGCTACATTAAAAAATAATAACAAGCACAATGAAAACAGAGAACAACAACAACAAGAAGCTTTTTCCATCAATGTCAATGCAAAGTTTATACTGACACAAGCAGGACTGACACAATTGAAGCCTGATATTGTCACCATACTCTGGTTTTCGAGTTCGATGTTGAAGTCTTGTTTTCCTTGTACACTTA